GTAAACCGTCCATCCTTTTTCTAAAAAAACCATGGAAGAGAGAAATTTCCTGAAGCCCACACCTTGAGAAAAGTTATTGCTTCTTGATATGACCCTTGAGAAAAGGCAACCAACTGGCCAGAGGGTTGATGCTATAAAGAGCAGATTTTTCAAAAGAAAGAGAGGCCTAGAAAGAAAAACCTTCAAATAAAAGGGAAAAACCTAACTTCGGCAGGGAAAGGGATAAGAGGAGGGGAAGGGAATATAGATGAAAGAAAAGTATAGAGAAAAGAGGAGAAAACATAGGGAAGAGAGAATAAACAGGAGTAGGGAAGGGGAAATAAAGAGAAAGGGAAAAGAGGAAGACGAAGAAGAGTAAACAACTTAAAAATTTCCTAAAAAGGAAATTTTCAAGCGCCTAGAGGGGAGTGGGAAAGAGTTTTTTTTTTAAAAAAAAGATAAATTAAACAAATATTAATAAATAATATTAAATATGATATATAAGATATTATCAAATAATAAATTTGAATTAATTAATTTAATTTTGATATTATTTATTGTTATATAATTTTTATAATATTGAATATAATAAATTATGTAATTAAAAATTAATTTTTGTAATATTGAATACAATAAGTTTAATTAAAACCCAATTTTTAAAATTTATAAATTATAATAAAAAGTATTAATTCAAAATTTTTTATATTATATTATAAAATAAAAAATTAATAAATTTATATATAAAGATATTAAATTTTTGTAATTAAGAAATTTTAATTTCAAAAATTGTTTTTTATCAAATATTTTTTATAATAAATAAACAAATAATTATTTGTTTGTTTGATATAAAGTTTTAAAAATAAGAAAAAATAAAATGTCAAGTTTTTTTAAATATTTTATTAACAAATTTATTTTAAAATTTGATTTTGAAACCAAAACAAAATTGATATATATAAATTTATATATAAATTATAATAAAATATACAATTTAAAAATTTGATTAGACTTTTTAGACAAACCGTGTATATATGTATATATTGAAATTTAGAATATCGCAGAAAATAAAAAATCCGGTCTTATGAAAAAGAAAAAAAATTTTTTTTTTTTTTAATATGATTATTATTGAAAAGCAATTATTTACCACATTTGAAACATCGATTTTAGTAATATCTGGTAATGTATTAAATTCATTTACCGAGTATTAATTAAACAAAGACTCCATTGGGCTCCGAAAGATTGGGAATTGCGTAGACTCGCATGGATTTGCATGCATATTAAAAAAAAAAAAGTATGACCATTTAATCAATTTTTTTTTTTTAATATATAAGAATTCGGAATCGTTAGGAACCCATGACCCTATCAAACATACAAATTCAATCAATGAGTTAGTTAAAATTGTATTTGGGAGATTCGAATATATGGTGGATAAAGTAAACCGGTCATTAATTGTATAGTAGGCAAAGTAACTAATCATTTATGTATTTATTGAGATCATGAAATAATTATTTAGTATATATGAAAAATAGAATATTGGATTGGTAAAAACAAAGAAAAAAAAAATGAAACATTGATATTATCAAACACTGAAATACTAATATCGCAAACCTGCTTCAAGGATATTTAATCTGAAAAATAGTAAAAAAAAAAAAACAATAGCATAAAAAAAGTTGATATTGTTGGTATTTTGATGGTGGAATTTAAAATTGAAACAAAATGAACGATTTGCAATGATGAAAAAGCGAGGTTTTACAAGACACAAGCACCAAGACGACACAACTTGCATATAAAAATTGGAATAATTTGTTATACATCATTTTACAATCACATTTCATTCCCGACTTGTACTAGAATGCGATGGATAAACTTGACATTTATTCAATATGAAACTGTACAAAAGTGTGCCAAGGTATGCACATTAAATACAAGCGAAAAAATAATAATTTTTTTTTTTTTAGGGAGAAAGAAAAGGTGATTGATTATTTTAGAATAAATAATTATTTTTTTTTTTCTAATGTAGTAATCATTTTGTTTTTTTTTTTAACTTTTCAAAATGGGTTCTATATCTAACCTCGAAACTAGACTTATAAATGTTCTCTCATTCGTAATCATTAAACTAAATATCAATCTCGTTCTTTTATGCCACGTGAAATGGTAACACCATTGTGTTGTTGAGAGTAGCGGTAATTAGTAGTTATATGAAAGATGTGATATACTTGAAAGAATCTATAAATGCGATATATTTATTCGATTAGGGGAATTATATGTACTCATTGTGGAACCACTTTCCGTTTCCACCGTATTTTTCCATCTGTCGGGTGACGCTTCGCACGCTCGAAGCAGTTCCAGACACACTCTGTACCACGAATTTTTCTTCAACATCTGTTTCTTCGTTTTCTGATTCTTCTTCACCCTTCAATTTTCTTATCTCGGCTTTTAGCTCTACAATTTGTGTGCTCATCTCATTCATTTGTAGCTGAAATCCCTTTTGCATATTGAGGACTAAATGATAGAGATCGTCGATGGTTAGGTCCGGAGTGGTTAATGTGGCAGAACGGTTATCCTCCTCTTCTTCTTTAAAATCATGCGGGAAATATTCGGAAGGAAGTTGATGAGATATTGGAGAGGAAGGAGTGAGCGTCGGAAGTTC